GACTGGAAAGAAGTCATTAAAGTTGAAGAAGGCCAGTTCATTTGAAAGAACTGAGATCAAGCCGTCAGCTAAGTTATCAACGTAGTTACTAAAGTTTTTAAATAAAAACCAGCATGGAAAGGAAAGGTGTTGAATAAAGGACCAAAATTAAAGCTGGAAGAGCGTTGTATTATGTAAGGCAGCAAGATGAAATACAGGAAAACACTACATTTAGAAAAGTTAAGTAATTGTGATTTTTCATCAAGGGAATGGAGGAAGAATCTATAGAGGAATATGAAAAGATTGTGAAAGATGAGAAAAGAACTGATAAAAAAGCTGTAGTTCAGCTAAAATGAGAGCCTGAAAGTAGATCACAGATGGGCTCACTGTCATGCCTTCCTCCATATGGTACTCACGTTTTACAGTAGTAGGGACAGGCAAGGCTGGGCACTTGCCTGGTTCTATCAACCAGAATACCATATGTGTGGATAAAGCTGGCAGTGACTCAGAGACATCATGGCATACTGGGAGAAAAAAAATCAGCAGCTGATCTGGCTGGAGGCTGACGTGGTATGTGGGAAATAATAGACGATGCTAGAAAGCTAGGCAGGGGCTATTTAGAGAGGCTCCAGTAGGTAGGACAAGAAATTAAGATTTGTATCCTTTAAGCTATCAGGAAGTTGTAAGCAGTTAACTAACAAAATCACTTTGGTGGCAGTGAATAGAATGTATTAAAAGAAAGGGAGGTGGAGGGCAAGGGGCTAGTTTATGGGCTAATGAAATAATCTGTTCAAGAGGTACGGAGCTTTTTTTTTTAAATTTTTTAAATGTTTATTTATTTTTGAGAGAGAGCGAGCGAGCGAGCGAGAAAGAGCAAGCAGTAGAGGGGCAGAGAGAGAAGAAGACATGGAATCGGGAGCAGGCTCCAGGTTCTGAGCTGTCAGCACAGAGCCTGATATAGGGCTCAAACCCACAAACCACAAGATCATGACCAGAGCAGAAGTTCAGACACTTAACCGGCTGAGCCACCCAGGCGTCCTAAGAGGTATTGAGTCTTAAGTATAGTTATTCAGTTATACAAATATTTAAAAGCATATAATATATACCCAGATCTATGCTAAGTGCTGGAGAAATCAAATGAAAAAATAGTTATTGTCCTCATGGAGACCAGTCAAGTTAGAAAAATATGATAAAGAATGACTAGAATACAGTCATTTGATAAATTGACTGTAAACTATACAAACAGTTGAGAAATTCAAAAGAAGTGCATACATGGCAGCACAGAGAAAGGAGTACTTAATTCTGAAGAGGAGGCCCCTGAGATCATAATGGATTATTTGAGATTTGCCAGGTGTGAGTTATTTATGTAGTCTTCAAAAGGAGATGGCAAAGATTTCAGAGCCAACTTTGAGAAGATAATGAGTATGATGACGATATGATGATAACAATCATCATTTATATTATATTTAGTACATGCTAACCAGTACCCTAAGCGCTTTACATATGTTAACTCAGTTAATGCTCACAGTAACCCTAAGAGGTAAGTGCTGTTATTATTGCCATTTGGTAAAAAAAGAAATAGGCATGGAAAGGTTATATAATTCACCCATGGTCACAAGGCTTGTAAGTGGGGAAACCAGGATTTTTACTTAGGCAGTTAGGCTCCAATTGCTTCTCCTAGGTAGAGATAAAGATTTGGGACTTATCACAGTAGTAGGTGATGACCTGACTGTAGATAAGGTTCACCAAAGAAAGCATGTAGATGGAAAGGAAGTCTGAGGATGCAAGGCAATAGAAGGAAGCAATAAAGAGTTTCAAATATAAAGAGATAGGTGAAATAAAATAAGGTCCAATAGTCTATTCCATTTGACAATTAGGCTATTAAAGTCTAATTTAAACAATTTAATGGGCATGGTAGAGGCAAGAAAGGGGGCTTAGAGATAATGGAAGGGAAAGTACACAACACACGTTACTCTTACAAAAACTGGGCTGTGAAGTGAACAAGAAGCAGGTTACAGGCTCTCTCAAAAGACTGTCACCCCGTCCCCCACTTTCCCCAACTGGAAGAGTCATAAACATACCTATCACCAAAATAAAGGTACCAGGGCAGAAGGAATAGAGACTGAAGTTGTAAGGGGAGAAAAGAAAAAAAAAAAGGATGACTGATGGATAAGTTCTTGAAGAAGTGAGGAAATAAGAGCACACTTAAGCGTGCACATGAGGGGCAGAAAGTTAAGAGTTCACATTCAGTGGCCTCTATCTTCTCTGTGTAACAGAAGGTGAGGTCCACTACTGAGTAATGGACCCAAGGAAAACTTTTTAAGCTTTTGGAATAGTCACTAAAGGGAAGAAGAGAATGAGCAAATCAATGATAAAAAATTGGCTGAGATGTGAAAACCCACTGGAGACTAGAAGAAAAGTCATGCATATCTACAGGGCATTAATCCTTTCAGTTAAAGAATTCCTCCTGCTGTGTTTAGCAACTCAGGTAGGAGAAAAAGCCGCTTTTATAACCAATACAGAATTTGAAGTTTGCCGAAGAGGGAGAGCACAATGACTAGGTGGCAGGAGAGCTGGTGATAATTCACATGTAAGTCCATGGATTAGAGGAAGAGGTGAAGTTAGAAGAGGATTGACGATCTGGGGGGGAGGGGAGGGAGGAGAAATCAAGGAACAAGCAGCATGATTGTGCATAAGCAGGTCTGACAGGAAAGGAGTAGAAGAGGTAGAAAGGTAAGAGACTGTAGTAAGCTCCACATGGGCAGAGAGCAGGTCTGTTCTGGTCCCCCCTGTTTAGTTACGGTCTAAGATATTTACAATGCCTGAATAATTTTCAAAGACTAAGATACTGGGGCTTCCAATTTGCCTGCCTTGACAAAACTGAGGGTTTGATCATTGGCGTGAGTTGCTGAACGAAAAAGGAAAGCAAGGTCCCTGAAGACAACATGGTCGGGATATAGTAAGGCTTAAATGATGACTGCACCATTCACGGCACAGGTGAGCATAGGGAAGATTCTGCAATGTGACAAAACCTATGTGTGACGGGCCAAAAACTGTTGACAGGTAGCAGCAGAAAAGAAAAGGGTGGATAGAGCAAGGCTGCTGAAGCCTCCAAGGAGATTTTGTTTGAAGGGTTAAACGAATGCTTCGGGAACAGCACCGAAGAGCCAGGGGAACAGTAACTTCTCCCTTTCCAGCCTTGAGACAAAGGAGAGGGAAAAAAGAGGATGTAGGAGAGTAAGCACTTCTCTTTGCCAGAGAAGTGGTGTCCTTGGGAAAGTGCCAGTTTCCAGTTAAGGCCAGGAGGGGTAAGGAACATTATGTGAAGAAGAACAGGGGCTCCAGAAGGCAGAGTGAAAAGGCGTAGGAGGAAAACAGTGCGAGGATGAGCCAGGAGGGAAAGTACAGAGCAATATGGGAATGAGACTAGGAAGATACGAAGCCAGAAAGGCTTGTATTTTGGTTATTGCAAGGACACTAGGGATGAGAGCAGGGAGACAATTAATGGCTGAAATGTCTGAACCTGAACTTTGGAACAAAGCAGTTTTGGTACTGGTAGTGGTCCAAGGGTCCTCCGAGTTTCATTTCTCATAGCCTCTTAGATATTTTCGTGAGAGGAACAAAAGAATCTTACCCAGTGAGACCAGGTTTCCGTAATTCTCCATCATGACATCTTTATACAGGCTTCTCTGAGCTGGATCCAGATAATCCCACTCCTCCTGGGTAAAAAACACAGCCACATCCTCAAATGTCAGCAACCCCTGAAATAGTACGATTTCTGTAGTCAGTTCTTGTTGTCTCAAGGACAATTCTACCACTGAAAGTAGCAGAAGCAATCAGCTATCAGAGCCGGGTAGGCCAGGAGGAACGGGATTACCAAGAGTTCCAAATGATGCCGAATTCCGTGTCAGACAAGCACCTCCAACTAGAGGGCAACCGAACTGGATCCTGGTCGTCAGCAGTGATGGTGTTTTTCCGGTTGAATAATCATACCCTAACACTTTTATTTTAGTAAGCTGCCCAAGGCCTCCCCAAGTTTCCTGACCCTCACTGCCCGGCTCCATCCAACTGTTAGCACCGTCTTGAGACCCTGTTTAATTCAATTGCAGGAAGTTCTCTAGGCGTCTACCTGGGGTCCTAGCATCGTGACAGGCGCACAAGACACAGGGGAGGGTCAAAAACGGTGCCTTGTCGGGAAGAACTCACAAATGAGAGCACTTGTCTGGAGCATTACTAATTTTCTTCGGTTGATTTATCAAGTCGCTCTTGAAACGAAGGACCAAGTGGGCGATTCTGTACCGAGGCGCAATCCAGACCACTGTGGGGTTCTTCCTTGCACAGGGCTGGCCTTAAAGACAACGGTCGCGGGGGGTTTGGGCGGGGGGTAGCGCGGCCTAGCTCCAGTAGTGGCCAGAGAACAGGGATACCCAGAGGGGCGACTTACCTTTGGCTCCGGCGGGGGGCTCGGGGAGGCCATCTCCAGGGCAGAAAATCAGGACGGGAACCCGGGAGAGCCGCAAGGAAAGGAACCTCCCGCGAGGCCTACCCGGCGGTTGGAAATTAGGCCCCACGAAGACGAGGCCTCCAGGCTGGTTCTGGCCAGGTCCTGCCTCGGTCCCAGAGTGGTCACGACCCCAGCAGCATATCAGACGCACTATCTGGCCATCCCCCAAACCCAAATTCCCTCCCTCCTAGCTGCGCAGCCTTCCAGGCCTCGCTAGAGCCTCCTCCCAGTTGCCAGTTCCTCCTCCTTTCAGCCAAGGAGCTCTATGACCGCCCGCCCCCGGACCAGAAGGCGTCACCCGGAACCTTCCCGGGACGCCCCCAACTACAACTCCCGTCATGCTCTGAGAGAGCGCCTCGGTCCAGCCTCCGCCGGCAAAGGCTATCGGACTACATTTCCCAGCGTGCAAAGCGGGAGGGAGCTTCTGGGGAGGCTTAACAGGAAAAACGGAACACCTATCACTAAGCTTACATTTGACTGGCTGGTCTTGGCGCGTCACTGCCGGCGGGGGCAGAGCCGGAGCCGGTACCTCTCCTCCAAGATGGCGGCCCTGTCAGTGTCTGGCGTTACCAGAAGAGGCCTCCCGTGGATAGTCTTAGGGGCACCACGCAGAGAATTTTGGTCTCGATTCAGGTAAAGCGGAAGGTTAGATGGCGGGTCTCGTTCAGGGAAGGTGAGAGAAACTGAGGAGGATGGAAGGACGAATTCAGAAGTTGGGAGTCATGCCGTTAAGACGGGACCCTGGTCCTGCTCCTGACCTGGGATAGGACGAGAAACTACGTTAGGTTCTGAGTTCAGAGCTTCAGCGCGGGTCTCTGAGTGATGGTGCCCAGTCTTGGCCTCACTTTTGTCATTTTATAACGGAAATACCGCCCCCTTTCCCTTCCACTTCACTCGTTAATTTAGTAAGCAAACGGTACCGACCGAGAGTTTCAGGCACCGACTCTGGTGTCAGGACACAGATGGCTCGTTTGGAAGAGTAACATGGAACACGAACTTGAAAGTGCTCGGTAAATCAAATGCATTTGTGCGGTTTCTTCGCAAGCTAGATTCAGAAAGGAGATGTGGCCTCCTCATTTTGTTCGTTTGTCCATTCGTTGTTTCATCAGCAGATAGTTTACTAAACGCCTGCTCTGGTCCAGCATTTCCCTAAGTAAGTTAGAGCAGCGGAAACAAAGTCCCTCTCAGTTTCCGCCCTCTGGCATATGGGGAAACCGTGGCCCCGTAGGAAGTATTTTGCTAAAAGCAAGTTAATGGCTGGGCTGGAACCAGAACCCGGGTCTTTAACTCTCCATCTACTGCTTTTCCTACTGCACCGTGTGGAATGTTTTGAAGGTAAATCCGTTTGACTCATAGTGCTGGGGCATCAAAACGTGTGGGAACCTCAGGAAACATGCCCTCAGGTTTCATGGAAAAGCTCCTTCCATCCGGGGGTACTTTGGTCATCAGTTCATGGATTTATTAGCTTTTCTCTTTTTTGGTTAGTATTCGTATCTCAAATCTCCTTCAAGTTTGTTTCATTCACTCATTCAAAACAAATGTATAGAGTGTCTGCTATATGTCGGATGTCTAGGTGTTAGGGATACGGTTGTTAGTAAGTCAGACCTAGTCTTTGTCTTAATAGAGCATATGTTCTGACGGAGGGGAAAAAAATCCAACGCGGGATATGATTTCAGAAAGTGGTAAATTATGAAGAAAACTAGAGCAGTACAAGAGATTACTGAGATGGAAGGAATTCGTCAGAATTTCATTCTGATGAAGAGTGACTGGAGTAGATTGAGGAGAAAATGGAAAGTGATGAAGTAGAGACTATAAGTATAGACAACTCTTTGGGAAACTTGAGAAGAACATGGAGTCTCGGGGGTCTCATTTTTCTTTAAAGATGGGGAAATACAGCATATTGTGTGCCCTGGGAAGACACTAGTAGATGGAGAGAAATTGATAAAGAGTTGCTGTAAACAGAGGGCTAAATTGCTGGAAGACTCTTTGAGTAGGCAAAGAGAAATTGTTCTACAAACCATATTCTTGGGCAAACATCTTTCTTCCTGTCTTTCTCCCTCTATGCCTGCCTGTCTTCCTTCCTTCCTATCTTCCTTCCTACCTTCCTTCCTTCCCTCCTTCCTTTTCCCACACATCATTTATTTCTGATGCCTCTCAATTTCTGTAGGGATGACTGACCCCAGTCAGATACCAACTCCATGGAAAACAAGAGTCATGATCTGATTAATATTTCATGAGGCACTGAAAATAGTGTATTTGGCAGATTTCCTCACGTTGGCCCATGTACTCAGAAGTAGTTATTCAGGCAGTCTTCAAAGGACCCCAGATCAATAAAACAGGTTTCTGTATTCAGGAGTTTATAATCTGGTATACTGGTTCTTAACCAGAGATAGATTTGCCCATCAGGGGACATTTGGCCATGTCCTTTGGTTATGACTGGAGCAGAGGAGTGCTACTGGCATTTATCCTGCCCTGGGTAGAGGCCAGAGATGCTGCTTAGCATCTCACAATGAATAGGATAGCCTCCTACAACCAAGACTTATCTGGTCCAAAATGTCAAGTGTTTGGGCTGAGAAACCATGATCTAGTAAGAGAAATAGAATGTAAATAAATCTCCAATAGGATGAGGTGTGCTGTGAAAGCAATATAAAGTGCTGTACTATGTCAGAGGAATTTATATTTGGGGAAATCAAGTAAAACTTCTTGGAAGAGAACAGTTCTGTGCTAGGACTTAAGGATTTCAATAGGTGAAGATGAAATTGGCATCTCTTGTAGGATGTAACTTGAGCTAACACACGACATCAGGAAAGTGGGAAATAGAATGTAGTAGTTTACAGTGTGTAGGCATAGAGTGTATGTAGATTAGTAGGACATGAGGTTAGATAGGTTGATTGGGTTTGGAAACTGGGAATCCCAGATGACGATTTACCTCTTGTTCTTGGGATTCTTAGAGCATATAAAATCTGTAATTAGCTTTTCTCTTCTGTCTATACCAGCTCAGGTCAGCTATAAGCTTCCAAAGGCAGGCATCTATCTTATTTTTCTCTCTTCAGTGCCCAAAAGAGTAAGTGCAAATTATTGGTTGATTTAGTTAGATGGGTAAGATTAGGTGTGGTGTTTGTCAGTTTTTCAGCTTTGTTAGTGCAGTTAACCAAAGATTCACATAGTTGTTTTTGACCATTCCAGAAAAGAAAAAAAGCCAGCGGTGGCTGAGATAGTAGAAGAAGTGAAGAAAGAGCCCATTTTGGTGTGTCCACCCTTACGAAGCCGAACATACATACCACCTGAAGATCTCCAGAGTCGTTTGGAATCTTGTGTCAAGGAAATTTTTGGCTCCTCTGTTCCTAACAATTGGCAGGATTTGTCCCTGGAAGATGGCCGTCTGAAGTTCAGTTTCTTGACACGTTTAGCTGATGACTTGGGCCATGCGGTGCCCAACTCCAGGCTTCACCAGATGTGCAGGGTCAGAGATGTTCTTGATTTCTATCAAGTGCCTATTCAGGATCAATCTAAATTTGATGAACTTACTGCCAGTAATCTGCCTCCCAATATAAAAATCACTTGGGGTTACTGAGCAGTTCAGAAGAGGAACACATTAAGATCATTTTGTCCTGAGCAAGGGGGCTGGTTATTAATTAGACTTTTGATACTTTACCTTGTGAAATGCTGTTAGAACTGTTCTCTAAACCCACTTTTTCTGTGAAAGAATGAATTATCTCTTTTTCTCATCATGAATTAATAACAAAGATTTTCTTTTTTCACATTTGCTGAAACTTTGTTGTTTTTTTAATGGAATCAAGTCATTAATCATGGATGAAAATTTCCTTCTCTGGAGGACACTAATTAAACTTGGGTTTAAGATACAAGGCTGTTATATGTTCAGACATGGTCTTTATAGGCATAAAATAGTAGATGCAAAAACAGGTTTTAATCCTGTTAGGACTCTTAAACCTAAAGTGGTATTATTATGTATAGTACCTATACAAATAAGGAAACTTAGATATGTATACAAGAAATGTAAAAATCTATGTTGTATATTAGAGCAAGTTGTTTCTTTCATTTCTTTATGAAGTCAAAATAGAAAATGATACTGTTCATTCTAGATTAATCTCTTTTGGAATTAAAGTAAATTTTTTGAAGAGTGTTGTGTGTTTTTAAACTTTTTAAAGGTGAAATTTGTGGGGTGGCCGAGTGGCTCAGTTTATTAAGTGTCCAACTCTTAATCTCAGCTCAGGTCTTGATTTCTGGGTTGTGAGTTCAAGCCCAAAATTGGTCTCCAAGCTGAGAGTGAAACCTACTAAAAAAAAGTGAAATTTGATTTTCTGCCCTATCATTTTCTTAATTTAAGTATTATAAATGAAAGAATACATATGCCAACTATGAAGTGCTGTGACTTTTTTTTTAAAGAGATAGGTCAGCTTCTGTATCTAAGTGAATGTTCTCTTCAAAGGAGATATGTTTATTTCAGAACATTTATCTTTTCTGTAACTTTTAATTTTATTTTAATGTTTATTTATTCTTGAGATAGCGTGACGGGGAGGGGCAGAGAGAGAGGAAGACACAGAATCCAAAGCAGGCTCTAGGCTCTGAGCTGTCAGTAGACAGCCCAATGCAGGGCTCGAACTCCCAAACCATTAGATCATGACCTGAGCCAAAGTCAGATGTTTAACCAACTGAGCCACTCAGGCACCCCTTTCCTGTAACATTTTAAAAGCAGCTTTGAATACCTTTGGGTATCCACTAGGGTGGTAAGTCTTTGCACACTTTGGTGTACTCAATTTGTGAAAATTACTCAAAGAGCAAGTTACCAGACAGTTCTGAATTACAGATGTTAAATGAGGAGGTGATTAAATTAGGAATTATTTTTGTTCAGACTTTAGATAATGGATAGAGAGTAATAAAAGGGAGAAGGAATTTCTTGTATTTTATCTTGACTACTGATAGTTCTTTTTTTTTTTTTTTACAAATAGTTTATTGTCAAATTAGTTTCCACATAGCACTCAGTGCTCATCCCCATAAGTGTCCTCCTCTATGCCCATCCCCCCCCATCCATCAGTCCTCAGTTTTTGTCAGCATTCAAGAGTCTCTCATGGTTTGCCTCTCTCCCTTTCCCCCACCATTTCCCCCCTTCTTCTCCCCCTTTTTCCTCCGTCAAGTTC